TAAAATCTCCTACATAATTCATTACATTTTGTCACCTTAATAGGGTGTTGAAAACAACACCCTATAACCGACTGGATGTTGAGTTCTCAACACCCTCAATACAATAGTCGCCGGCCCTGATTGTGTTACACTATTTGTCTTGATTATATTATTATTTCATCCCGTATTATACTTTGATTACACGATTTATTTACGATTTTGGCCGGAATCGTCGCCATTTCTGCGGCGAGTGCCATTAACTTTGAAGAAGAAGACCGCTGATAAAATTGGCGTGGGTGGTGGAGGGCCTCTATAGCCCGGTTTTGCTAAATTATACCTTAAATTGACAATATATGTTTAGAAAAGACTGAATTTATTATAAGTCTCTGTAATTGCTAGTAATTGTAGAGACTTTGATACATACACTAGTATAATTATAGTCGTCACACTTCTGTCCTGAGGATTTAGTACAGAGACGAACCACATCTACTTTCGACGGCACGATTTTATCGAGCGTCAGAAAATGTATGTAGTCACGTAGTTCTCAAACTGAAAATGGATGTACGGGCGATTTCGATTATAACAGGAAAAATTCCGGATGGCTTCTCTCAGGTTCCTTTCTGGTATAAGTATATTTTCGGTTTCTCTTATGGTATAAAAATTAATAATAATAATACTTATAACTAATAATAATAATAGTCCTGATGGGCTATTCGCTATTTTCTATTGAGAAATCACGATGTAAGAATTATAATAACAATTATAATTATGATAATGTTACTGTTATTATTACTTTGTTTTTTTTTTAATTGAAAATAATAATACATTATTATTTCATAATTTTAATTCTCTTGCGTTGTTTCTTCTTAATTAAAAATAATGAATAGCCCTTCAAGACTTGTGAATTTATACGAGTGAATCTCAACTGCCTCAACTGCTCTTTTCGAGAGCTTTCCTTATCTTTTCTTTTGCTCAATTTAAAAATTAGAATATAGATTAAACAATAGAATTTAAAAGTTTTAATAAAAATTGATAAAGATACATAGCTGATATAATGATTTTTATATGTCTCACATACATATATATTTCTTATATGTAGAACATTATTTTTTAAATAAAATATTTCTATGTAATATAGATATATTTAATCTATCAGAAAAACGTTTTTAATATACAATACGTATCTTTTATACATAAAATCAAAGTTGTTAAATCTGCAACCTAAGACGCAGTCATAGTTGCAAAACATATTACTTTTAAAACATATTACTTTTTATACTATACGCGTTCCTTGAATGTTTTGTTTATTATTCAATCGAATCTTCTCTTGGCGTTTCTTTTCCTCTTTAAACGCTTCAGTGTTTGCCTTTCGTTCTATCCTTCTTTCCTAAAATTAAATAAATTTCAGAAATTGTTATATAAAATTTAACCCATCCACAGTAAATGTTCAATAAAATTACTTTTCTGTATTCCTTGAGCAGCTTTTTTCTTTCTTTTCTTCCGTCTGGAGTTTCTCCTTTGGGCCTTATACTTAGAATGCTTAAGGTAGATTTCCTACTTTCCGCTACAGATTGTGGGCCTTTTGGCGCATATTCCATATCAAATTGGGCCAAAGTTTCAGCTGTTAATTTTCCAGTATTGCCTAACACATTTTTCGGAATACCAGATTTTCGATCTATTTCAATTTTCTTTGATCGCTATTAAAAAGAAACAAAAAAAACATAAAATCAATAAGTGTAGTATCAACCTGAGAAAAAATGTTTCATATATAATTATATATGAAACTGACATATTTTATATATACTTATATATAATTCATATATAATTATATAACGTTTTTTCGCGGGAAGACTAATATATAATTAAATTATACATATATTTGTATTTATTACTAGAATGAATAAATTTTTTAATAACGTTGATTAATAATTTACCTTAGAAGGTTCTGATATTAATTTAGGGTGATTATAAATGTTACTATATGTGCTAAGAATACTTTCACAGTCCCATTTATCCTTTCCACGAGTAGTGACAAGAAGTTTTTCAAAATGTTCATCTTCTGAACTCGAATATTCTGGTTCCACAATCTTCATTCTATCTTTCATAAGTTCCGCGATATTTTCCGTCTACAAATGTTAGAGAAAATAGTACATTTTTCATTATATTTTTACGTAATACTTACGTCTTCTCTTTGCTTTTTTTCAAATTCTGCAGCATATTGCATAACAAGATCCGAGTCATGTGTGATATATCCTTCTATTTCGTCACAGTCTAAAGCACCAATTTCATTTTCATCATATCCAGCGTACATCTGTATAATAAACAAGAAAGGATAAGAACACACACAACGTCATGTTTAAAAAAATAAATCTATAATATAAACCTTTTCAAATTTGTCATCCAGCAATGTAAGTTGTTCGTTCCTCTTCATCACGCTACTACTCATAGAATATTCTGTAAACCTTGATTTCGTTTCTTCATCCTTAAAAGTATATTGAGGTCCATTCAAACTACATACTTCATCTGCCTCCTCGTTGGATAAATCCATGTGACCATCGGATGAGACATCTGATTCACTATATTCATTTTCTGGTTCGTTTAATTCATATTCTAAAGTATAAAATTACAGTAAGTGAATGTGTATGATATTATCACATAGGTTAATAAATTTACCATATTCTCTGTCAGAATCCTCGCTGTCAGTATTTTCAGCATTAGCTAATTCTATGAAATTATCTTCTATCTGATTTTCTGGATCATCAAAATCAAAATCGTCATCCATTGCAGCGACTATATCCGGATCTAAATCTAATCGTGGTCCGGAAACTGGTGCTGCTTTATTAAGCATACCAACTTTTTCCTCGACATTTGACGCAAACACCGAAGATGGTAAGTTAATTTTTGGAGCACTCTTGTCGCATATGGAATTATTCGTGTTCTCGACGCGTTCCCATTCCACTGATAATGTATTGACATCTTTAAGATGTTGCAAATAATCATAGTCATCATCAAAGTAAATCCCATATTTATGCTGCTCCTTTTTGCGTGTTTCATTGTCTAATAATTTCTTCTCTGTTTTTGCCGCTTGTGTATTGGCAGCGGGAACTAGAACCCTTTGTGGTGCTGTTTCATCTGCCACTAATGGATCTTTTTGTGAACGATGAACTACGTGGAACGTAACAGAATTCTTCTTGTCAATAAACTTTTTCGTTTTTCCCTTTGGCTGCAATTACATTGTTATTTTAGAGATGTAAAATAACTATTAAGCTATTAATACTGTAGAAAAATAAGTGAGTAACGCATGACTAAATGTGAATGTGGTCAACTATTGCTAGGGTTTGATTCACACTCATAGTGTTTTGGAAATCATTTCATCCTTATTATCACAAATGTTAAATAAAGATAAAGAATGCTCACAAGAGTTGTGAGTGTGAATCAACCATAGCCTGGTAGTTAGCAGGTAGAGCAGCTTGCTTTGATAAAAGATTGAGGTTAAGTTTAGAGATTATGAATTATAACATTAAAAAATCTCATATACCGGAGATTAAGGAAAAAAAATTCCTGGTTAATAGTTCAAAAACATTGTGTGCTATACAACTCTCAAATTGAATTGAAGAACCGGTGGAGATTAAAAAAAAAAATATATATATATATATATATATTAAATATATATATATATATACATATGTATAGCAATAAGATATTTTTGTAAATATGTATTAAAACTTACCATCTTGGTTTGTCTTGTTCAACTAATCGTATATACAAAAACTAGTACAACAAAAGCACTGACACATCTATTTATTTAAACTTTAAACATGCAAAACGTAAATAAAACATGTGCTGTGCTTTCAGAGTCAAACATGATAGATGAAATTCCCCAGACTGGTAACAATGCTCTCAAAAAAAATTTCTAGCAATTAGATATGATTGTTTAGTTATGTTTTTTATTTTAGAAATAAAGGAATTCATGATGTCAAATGTAAATGATATAATTAATAAAAAAATTGTCTTTTGTGTTCAATTAAGAACGCATCAATGACTCTCAAACGTAAATTTTGTCGTAAATTCCTAATGGTACAAGCAAAACATTGGAAGGGATAGTTCTAGCCCTACTCTAGTCTGCAAATAACGTAAATGGCAGAAGGGGGTGGGGGTGATTATTGATGTCTCATAAATGTGAGGAAACTTACAACGCCAACAGAAAATGGGGTTATTCGATCGTTTAGCGAACCTTTTAGGTCTTAGGAAAAAAGAAGTAAACGTTTTAGTAGTGGGCCTTAACAACAGTGGTAAGTCAACGGTCATAAATAATTTCAAACGCGAGGATGACCGTTGCATAGACATAGTGCCCACTGTCGGGTTTAATGTCGAAAAATTCGCATGTAAGTTAAATAGCGAAAAGCGACAAAGTGTAAAAAATGTGAGATTCTGTTGCTTTCAACGCTATCTTCACGCGTCCACTATTGCACCAGCACAGTTTTAAAATCACGGCATTGTCTATTTATTTTACAATAAGATATAGAATGGAGGATGACGCTATACAAAATTGTTAATAAAATGTACAAATATTTATGAAATACATATTTGAGGCGTAAAGAAATTATATTAATTTTTTTTATAATTGACATACTTCGATATTTTTAATATATTTATAATATTTATATATCTTAAATATTTATTTTGTTCTTTAAACGTATATATTTATTTTTTATTTTTTATACTTCTAGTACGGTGTTGACGTCTTCAAAACCTTTGATGATCTAGGAGGCTTCATATTACTTCGTAATAATTAATCATTCTTTTTTGGCATCTTCTTTTCTGGAGTCTTCTTTTCTGGAGCCTTCTTTTCTGGAGTCTTCTTTTCTGAAGCCTTCTTTTCTGAAGTCTTCTTTTCTGGAGTCTTCTTTTCTGGAGCCTTCTTTTCTGGAGCCTTCTTTTCTGGAGTCTTCTTTTCTGGAGTCTTATTTCCTAATTCATCACTATCGTTGGAGTAATCTAATAAGGATTCTATACGTGTAATATCATTAATCTCCAGAGTGGATGACAAGGGTACATTGCTGATTTTGCGATGTAGTGGTGTACTGGTGATTAATTTTGGGATTTTTGATCGTTTGCTGTCTGGTTTATTACCCAGTTTTAATTCAGACGAAGATATTTGATTTGCATTAGAAGTTGTAGCCGCTTGAGTTTGGAAATTTAATTTCGTCTGTTTCAATTTAACCTTAGATTTGTGGAATGGTGTTATTTCTATTGGATTTTTATTAATTTTCTTTTGTTTTAAGGCAGAAGTGGCCTTCTTTGTTTTCTTTTTCTTTATCAAAACTCGTTGTGGACTTTTGGTGCGTGCTTTTTTTGCATTTGGATGATTAGTTTCTTGATTATCATCTGAACTATCTTCTGGTAATGTAGTATTTTCAGTGGTAGTATTTTGCCTTAGTCTTTCTCTCCACTTTCTCTTCAATTCACGTTTCTTCCTCGAACTTCTCAATGACCTCTTCTGTTCTGATTGTAGCTGAGCTATGAAGTTTTCATCAGAGAGAGAGCTGTTAGTATCCTAAAAATAAAATTGTTAAAATATTTCTTAATCATTAACCAAATTCCATTAAATATTTTTATATTTAAATGCCATACATTCAGTTCTAATGGACTTTCAGTGTCGTCTTCCTGCATCCATGTAACTGTAGAATTATTCTCTGATAGAATCTTATCAAAAGCAGTTTGCAGGTCTGACATTTTAAATTTCTTGAAGTATGTCTTTAATCTCTGTTTGATATCATCGTTTAATTTGTTTCCGTTTATTGAATCAACTTGAACTTTATAAGGTCTTGCAGTGTCTTGACGATACAGCAAATGTATTATTAAGTTCATATAGCTATCATTTTCACTATCGTGTACACCATACAATTCCAAGCTGATTTGCTTAAATCCCATATCAGATTGCAAAGTACAATGCTTCATATGTGACATATGTTCCTAAAAAAAAAAAAAAAATCATTATTTGTATTATAGCTCAAAAGTAATTTATTATACATATATATATATGTATGTATATATATATATATATATATATATATAATCATTTTCATAAAGTGGAAATATACCTTTAGTGATAAGAATTGTTCTTGCCGTGCAATGTAACAATCAACATTATGCTTGTAGTTTTTTATAAAGGCAGTTAATTTTTTTATTTTGTCAATAGGCGTTTTGGATAATATATCATTTATGTTGATTGACACTGGCATTACCCATTTTCCCAGTTTGATCTTTCCATCCTTAATAAAAATCTGTACTGCTTGAGTATTGTCTGTCTGCTTTTCTCTTGTTGACGTAAAATTAAATACATATTCATTCTTCCGAAATTTAACGCAACGAAAACCAGCGAATCTATACAGATCATTCTCCAGAGCAGCCTTGACATTCAATATTTTACTAAATGTCAAGGGAGTCTCCAAGTTTTGCAAGAATCTGTTGGTCACATGATCCTCTATGTCTTTAAAGTGCGTTTGCAGATTCCGTTCATGCTGCTTGATGATAGTTTTCAGTCTCTCTATTTCTTGGCGCAGTTTCGTCTTTTCTGTAGCTGTCGCATCTAAAAGTCAGAAATAGGTTAATTTATCTTCTTCGTCGCTTTAGTGAGGTTAGGATTTTTGTTTGATAATAAAGTAGTTCACGTACCTTCGTTTGCCGACTCGATATTCTCATTGTCGTTATTCGAACCGCTCGCGGAACTTTGCGTTTCCATTTTTGTTTCTAAGAATCGTTATATCACTTGCAACAGAAACACAATCACGAACTCGCGCCAAAATTATTCGTAATTTTCAATTATTCATATCTCGACTGCTCTACTTTCCTCTTTAGATGGCGCATTGGTGTTTCTGCTATTCTTAGGGCGAGTTTAACCAAACTCTAATGCAATTGGTGCAAATTAAAGATGACTTTGATCACACAAACTTCGGTTAATGATTAAAACATGATTAATTTTTATCCATTATGTCTATTTTATACAAAATATTACAGACATCTATCGATTTTCTATGGATTTATTTATAAAATTGAGTTCTTTTTTTAAAAGTTCAATACTTTTTTATTTATTTATACAGACATTAATAAGTTAAAAGTCAAGCTAATCAATTCCATAAATAATAAGTAGATACAAAATTAAGGAAGTTTAAGTCAATCATGTTTCCAGTATTAAAGTTAAAAAATGTATAAAAACTGAAGTTATATAGGCTGTGTTCCAAATTTACTGCCAGCACTGAAAATGCTACAGTTTACGTTACGTACGCTATAGATTTCCCAGTACTGTGTGGCAGTCAATTTTGAAACACAGCCATAGTTTCTTGGTTTCTGACGCCCGTTTCTGCCAATGTAGATTACATTTAATCTCGATTCGACTTACTCTTCATTTTTTTTAATTCTTAAAATTAAAAAAAAAATGAAGCGTTCCAGATAATGCATGTTGGATAAGATACCTAAAAGATGTTTTTTTAGACATAAGTCATCTACTAAAGGCATCTGATAGAAACAATATTAAAGTTAAATTGCTATTAGTGAAAACAGACTTAACTGATAAGTAAACAACGAGATTTTAATTGAAGTTACTCTGTAAAAACTCTGCTGGAAGAAGAAGATATAAATATTTTTCTTATCCAAACACGAAATAAGAAATTGAACACAAAATTGTACAAATTGATATACATATAATACGTAATAATAATATATAGTCCGCGTAGTATATTATTAGGGCTTTGTTTTTACTTCATTGGTGCGATTAAGCCGAAATTGTTTCAGTTAAAAATGTCAGTTTCACCGCGTTCGATATGTCGGGCCACGACCGTCATAGATCATTGTGGGAGCATTATTACAAAGATTGCCAAGGGATCATCTTTATAATTGACAGCAGCGATAAACTGCGACTGGTTGTTGTGAAAGAAGAGCTGGACATGCTCCTGCAGCATCCCGATATTGCAGGTACGTTTCATAGTAGATGATAAAATCTGAATAGCAAGTGCTCGTTTAACACAGAAACACAAAATAGACAACCAGTTAGAAGATCTAGAATCTATAGATTCTCTCGAATGTTCGTATTTCACAATTGGTAATTTCTTTAGTAAGAGACTTGAAAACAAAAGTAAACTTTCCAGGACGCAAGGTACCCATTCTCTTCCTGGCGAACAAGATGGACTTGCCCGATTCTTTGACCACCGTAAAATTAGTCGCTGGACTTGGACTCGAGCGAATACAAAATAAACCCTGGCACATACGGGCGACAAATGCATTAACTGGCGAGGGCTTGCAGCCGGCGATCGAGTGGCTGACGGATCAAATTCGCGATATATACATCAACAAGAGATAAATTACGTCGTTATACGAGATACGACTGATTCGATATTTCTCGGCGAAGAGTCTGTCGTGTCATCAAATCGACTTAATCGATGTCTGTAACATAATCAGGGTTGGGTAGTGCTAAGTTAAAAAGCTAAAAGTTAAGTTAAAAAGTTGAAAAGTTAAATAATTTTAACTTAACTTAGTTACATTTTAGACTCTTCACTTTTTAACTTTATTTAGTTACATTTTATCGATAACTATTAACTTTTTATTTAAATTTTTTGAAGCTAAGAGTCTCAGACTCAAACATATACTTCATTTAGAACATATTGTATATTTTACTTAAAAGTTTTGTTGGTATATATTATTTACATTATATATTGATTTCAATCTAGCAAAAACCGTATATTTTAATGTATCTAGTTTTTGATAGGTTGAAATCTATATATATATATATATACATATATATATATACACATATATATAACAGTATATATAAACAAAAAGTTTAAATAAAATATAGAGTATATTCTAAATGAAGTATATGTTTGTCATTTCCGTTATTTGTAAGATTCTGAAATCATAAAATAGAAAGAAATTTAACTTTTAATTTTTCAATTACTTTTTTTTATTAACTTAACTTTTAATTCAATTAATTTCATTATTCATTAATTTGTATCTTAATTAAGTTAAATTTTCAAGGTTGTTAACTTTAACTTAACTTAGTTAAAAGAAAAAATTAACTTACCCAACCCTGAACATAATTAATAATGTCAATTACACCAGTGTTTTCCATGTGGCGTTTTGCAATCCAGCATCACGAAAATCAAATTATGATATAAAATTATCGTTATGAGAAAGAATTGTTTCGAAGCCCTTTTGTCCTAGATCTGCGTAATTAGTATAAAGAAGCATGCGATCAGAAGCTTCCTAATCTTATTTAATCAAATTGTAAGGATCTCATGACGAGATTCAATTGGAAAACATGGATCGTTACAAGCTCAATGCAGTTTCGTCCAGAAAAATATGTAGAAAAGTATATATGCATGTACATACATACGATAATATGTATATGTTAAAAGTGGCTTATGTGTAATATAATTAATTAAGATGCATTGATTAATCAAGATACTGCGATAATTTTTGACATGTTACTTCGACTAGATTAGTTTCATAAACAGTTTTACAATTAGTGAGCTTTGCAGAGATACTTTATTATGATATTTACAATAAATACTAATTAGAGAATTGCACAGTTCAGCACATTCATAATTTATTACTTTACCCCTGTTTATATCTTTTTTGTATGTCACTAAAGAAAATAATTAACAAAGTATTTAATTGACCGATTAAAAGAATTTTATTAATTAGCTAATTAAAAATGCTTTGAAACATTTGAACAAATTAGACAAAGTTAGACAAGTTACTGACGTAATCGAGCACGTTTGTAGACGTATCTTAATCTGCACTGAATGTACCCAGACAGCACAGAATATTTATGATAAATATTTATTAATATTCATTTTTTGAAATGTTATATAGATATTTTATACATATTTTATATA